TTGCTTTCGCCTCTGTATCTGTTTGGCTGGCCTGGCTTGGCCTGCCATAGCTTGGCTTGACTTGGCTTGGCTTGGCTTGACTGGGTTTGTTCATCTGCTGCTCGTTCGTCGTGTAGTTTATTGATGACATGACAAACAAGGTACGATTTCCGTGCACTCAAAAAGTTCGAGAACCATTTTTCTTCTGCTGACGCCCAGTTCCTCAAAGTTCGCTCTTTGTCCATTGTGTTTGTACATGCACATTAACTTCATTTTGTAATCACGCGCACCATAAATCCAATTTAATTGTGTTGCTTACTTGCCTGCATACACTCACATACACACACACACACGCACGCACACAAACAGCGCTTGTCAACGTTAACACTGCGTATACTTAATATTTGCTCGCTCGTGCGCTCAATGCCCAGCTCAAAGCTAAATAGACGCACATAAATTTCCCTCGATATCCGTTTGATTTCTTCGAATTGCATTTTGAAAAATAGATGTTTTATACTGCTTTCGCCTGCTGCTGCCGCACTGCCGCACTGCCGCACTGCCACGCTCCACCAGGCCCATCGTCAAGCTTCACCTTGTCTGACTGATTTACTACGCACAATTTTCTGCCAACTGGCAGGAACTTGCCAAGCGTATGTTGTGCCCTGTTACGTGGCTGTATCTGTGCTCGGCGGGTCCAGTCAGTAGTCACTCGCTCTGATTTATGTTTGACTGAGAAGCCTGAAATTGTATGCTAATCGGGCCTGGCACTGGGCCATTTGTATAGCTGGCGCTCCAATTGATTTTAAATGGCTAGCTCATTTGACACTTTGACTGAGCGATTGATAATTTGAATGTCATTAGCCGTTTATGTGTGCGGTCTAAATAACTGCATATCATCTATTCGCAATGAAGCCACTCAATAATGGCACTCCACAGTCGATTGACGCTTTCTGTTATTCAATATTATATATAGTATAGTGTATAAAGTAAAGGCATATTTGATTGCTAAAGATTTTATAATGGATTTTAGATTTTCATAACAAATTTTTAATTATAGCTCGCAAATTAATCATAAGTTCTTGCTCCGACCAAGAGCCTACGATTCTTTTCGATTTTGTTTTCTGTTGAGCGGCTTGAGTTGAACTATGTGACTGTGACATTCTTTGAAGGAAAATCGTTTAGAGAGGATGCGATTAGCGTTACATAACTCATAAAATCAATGCCATAGGTTTTCAGACGAATGCCATCGATATGCTCAGCGAACGTAAGTCTCACATACATAGCAATACATACACAAAAGACCTTGCGAAATAAGACAAATGTCGTCGATCGTGAACAAACTCGTTGACGAAGCGACACAATCGGCTGCTCGCTGACTTTTTTCTGCATCTGGAGCATCTGGAAAAAACACTTATTTGAGGACATTTTGAAGCAGTCATCAGTTATTTGCTAGAAAGAAAATGGAACTCTACCTGTAGCAGTATCAGATGAGCTAAAGAGAAACAGACACAGAAGGAAATGAATAGCAGGGATTGATTTAGTATATGAATATTAAAAAAAAAAAAAACAAACAAAAATATATGAAAATATATGTACATATATAAGTTAAGACTTTCGACAATCTAAGGAGGCTGGAGAGTCCAGTCAGACATTCAAGGGGAGAACCTAACCAGTTGAACAGATTTAGTTCAGTTTATATTCCAAATTATATAAAATATATTATTTCATTGAACACGAAGTTGTTATATATTCACAAGAACCCAACACAGCGTCCCCCAATCACTAGTACTCTAGTACGGGAGCGCTTAACTTATATATATATATAAATTATAAATTATATATATAAATTAATTATTATTATTTTATGTATGGCGCGTTTGCTTAGCATATAATATGTATAATATAATATTACTTGCTAAAACACATTTTCAATTAAAATTAATGTTAATCAAATTAAAACTACTTAATTTAAGAAACAACAATTTATATATATGTAGAAGTGACGCATGATATCTACTACATATGTAAAGCTTAGTTTCGATTGGGTTTCCCTTTAACTCTTGATAGCTGATCCCACTGATTAAATTTTCTTTATATTCCATTTGCTTCTCCTCTACTCAGGCTACTCGAGCGATATAAAACTTCTGAGCTCTAGTGCTGTTGGTCATTAAGCGCAGCTGTTCGACGTCCACTTCACTATAGTTTGCCATAAATTGCATGTCTTGGCCCCCTTTGATGTGCAGTACAGTCTGCTGGCAGCGCATGGCTAAGCTCAGAGTTAAAAAGCAGAAAACAAGAATAGATATCAGCAAATTTACTGGGGACAGCTCATTAATGCGAAACACACACACACACGAGACACATGCGCTCCTCTGAGGACACACACAATGCACAATTGGCTGCACTTGTGCTGGGCCACTTAGTTGCGAAGGGCGCTGGCAAGCCGCAATGCCACATCGGCGAGTGGTTAATGGCCAGTGGTGCGCTGCTCCAAATCCCTGTGCGGTGGTCAACTGAGTCCATGTCCATGTCCATGTCACGTTTGCCAATTGAAGTTGAGCGTTGCGTGCGGCCCTGTTTTCATCGCGTTATGTATGCAGCATATCCGGCCTTGTCATTTCATACTAATCAACATCCGCTAACTACTTTTTGCCCAAAAAATTTGAGTACATTATTTCGGTGGTGGGGGTGGGGCACACCGACGGTAGCTGTCAGATTTGAATTTGTGCTGGGCCAAGCGAAAGCGCAATATATTTTCAATTCTATTATAGCCATTTGTTGCAGCATTTGCATTCTAATTGCATGCGGGTCGAATTCGTTGCACTTGCACAACAATGCGTGTAAGTGACGCGCATGGAAATTATATTTGCTTCGCCGCGGATCGCATTTTGGCCAACAAAATGTAACAAAATGCAGGGAAATTGTAGATTTATTGCATGCCACGTATACATGAAGGCACACACACACACGCACACATATATACACTCAAATGGACAGTCAGGCAGACAGACTCACACGTAGCTCAGCCGTTTGCCTTCATTGCGCATATTACGCATACGCACCGCTGTTAATTTCATATTCTGAATTGATGGCAACTCTCGCCGGGCCCCAAAAATGAAATTGTTCTCGTACTGCCACTCTAACTAGTACTTCCTTTGACCATCCACTCTATTATGCATTTTGGGCAACAGCACGTGTTTCTGCTTTAGTGTACTTGTGTGTGTGTGTGCTTATGTGTGGGTGTGTGTATGGGCGTAGATTTTAGAAAATGGCCACTACTTACCTACTACTTATATAAAGCCTCTGCTCGCTTTGATCTTAGGCTAAGCTAGCATCCACTTTGGCCACCTTTTCTAGCCTCATCTTAAGTATCCATTGACTTTAATTGGACAGCTCTCTAAGGTGCGGCTATTAAGGCTTTATTTGCCCTTGGAGAGACACCCACAAATACATTTCAAAGTAAACAGCTCTCACACAGATACACAACACAGGCACACACACAGCGATAAGTTGATTTTGGCATGGCTGTAACCCACGATTTTACTTTGTATCCGCTGAGAAATAGTGATGGCTATAACATTTAATATGTATATATGGCTATGTTATTTATCAAATAACCAAATCAAATATTTCAGTTAGTAATTCTATCTACTTATATTATTGACTGACTAAGGTGTTCCAAAAAAATTTATAAAATTATTGTATAATATATATTAATTAGCATTATTACATGATATTAATGTAATAAAAAATTCCTTTTATATTTTGTCACTCATTTTGGAAAAATTATATACATATATTTACAGTTAGCGTAGTTCATTATTAGTAATTAACAAAAATTTGTCAAATATTTTAATTTTATTTTATTTTATATTACGTAAAATATTTGTATATACCTTATATATACAAAATATTTTAATAGGAAACACCAAAGAACTGAATTTGAAATGAGCAAAATTAAATAATATATTATTTATAAATAATTGAAGTATCAGCCCAACTAATTTTTATTTAATAAACTAAACAGCAGATGTATAAAATAATAAGAATAAATACCTAAATATGACGTTTTAAACGTTAAACGTTATTATTATTTTTATTTTATTATAATTTCTCTTTTCCTTTCATCATCATTCATATGTAATTGCTTAACAAGAGTCTTTTACACACATATTTATATATATATATAAATTATCGCCAGCGTTATTTAATTACTTGTGCTTGGCAACTAATTACTGCAGTTAGTTTAGCATCAGCAACTTTATAATGCAGCGCGCGACTGTCTGTCGCTTATGCTTATTAGTCGACAGGACGTTTCATATTGCTTGACATTTTCGCAAGCTCGGCAATAAAAGTGCATTCTATTTATAGAGCAAGCAAACAAATTAACTAACGCACACACACACAGAGAGACAGAGAGAGCGAGAGAGATAGTGATGGTAGTCCATATTGCATATGAGTGGGCATTGTGGGTTGGAAGGGGGTGTGAGGGCTTAGTGTCACATTATTTGACATGCGGTCGCAGGGCAAGGGAAAACATCAAAATATTAGCAGCGTCAATAACTGCAGACATTTGCCATTTTTGAACGATGAGTGGAGCGACATGAAGTGTAAACGGGAACAGCAGCAGAGAGCAGGGTGAGGGAGAGAGGGAGGGAAGTGAAAGCGGTAGCAGGCTAGAGAGGAAAATAACTGGTTGGCAATTGAATGGCATAAAAAGCGGAGCAGAGCCAATGATGATGTCGACGGCAATGAGGCAACGATGATGACAACGATGACGATGTGTGTTTAATGTTTAACGTTGTTTTTGTTGTTGCTGTTGTTGTTCACAAATTGACTTTTGTTCTGGTGCTGTCGCTGCGGCTGTCGCTGTGGCTGAAGCTGTGGCTGTGCCTGTGCCTGTGGCATTCGCTGCTGCTGCTAGCTTCGCCGCTCGTCTACAAACATTTGCTCGATAATATGCCGACATATGCATAACGACATAAGTAGCTTACAAGTTCCCTGCTCTATCTCCATTCCAGAACTACAACAATATCAACAGCAGCAACAACAGCAGCAGCAACAGCAGCAGGTTGGTAAACATCAGCCGAACGGGGCGGTGCTGACGGGCATGCAGCCCCACTATATACGTGGTCCACGCCCACCGATGCGTACTGCCTCCTCATCGACAACGACCACCACCAACAGCAGCATCAACTCTGTCATGGGTTCAACCGGGCCCGGTGGCAATATGCTGCTCGATCAGACGCCATCGGGCGGCAGCAGCAGCAGCGGAGTCAGCAGTGCGCCCAGCTCCTCCAAGGGACACATACACGCCCACTCGCACGGTCACATGTCGAGCGCCCACGGCGAGAGCTTAGCCATGAGCTCCACATTGTCGGCGTCCCAGCAACAACAGCAGCAGCAGCAGCAAGTGCCACAGGCAGCCATCGACGAGATGCGCGTCTGATAGGTGTCGGTCTTTGAGTTGGACTTATAGTCATCAACGGGGTAAGTTGACCGTAGGCAACAGGCGTCTAGTTGCAGCTGGCATAATTACTGCCACTGCATCTAGACCAACACAAAGGTGGACGTAAGCTAACATTTAGGCTGACCAGCTTAGGCAGCTGATACACGAGTACTTTAAGGGTAAAACCTGAAAAGGCATGAGAATAGAATGAGTTCACTCACCTGAGCGAGGCTGTTATTAAAACAATGTCTTTTGACTTAAGTTGAATAGTTATTTTTCATTTATTTTTTTCTTTCTTTTAATTTACATTTCATTAAACTGGTAATCTAATTTCAAGCGAACTGGATTAATTTCTGACTTTAAACATTGAACAATTTTTGTCACATCGAAAATAATATAATAAACAAAATTTTAACAAAGCTTCGACTTCTTTATAGAATCGGTACCATCGTCCTGACACTTCCGTTTCATTGGAAATGTTAGTTTGTGCCCAGATTCAGATTCACTGTGAGCTTCCACAGCGTCGATTGGTTTCTTGTTGAAGTCATACATGATCTCACCTGTCGCACTGAAACGCCCGTACTCATATAAGTAATACTTGTTGTCGACTTCCCGTATAATGCCAAATCGTAGTCCAATATCCAGAGCTTTGTACAATTGCTCTTCGTTGTATTTGCGCTTCCCTTTGCTATTGATATTCTTGAGAGCTCTTGCCACTATTTTATATGAATGGGTGGGCGGAGTCAGCTCCTTCATGGCTTCAACCAGATAATACCCATATGTGTATTTCGTCATGTTTTTATTTGATTTGTTAAAAATATGTTTTTGGAAATTATACTGTTTGATTCTGTTTCTTTGTACTTACTAGTTTCAGAGTGCGGATATGCCTTAAATAGTTGCTAGAAATGTCTATGGTAACTTTATGCTCCTCAATGCTAGATTTCAAATTTGTCCACATCAGTGAAACTATTACACATATACATATGTATGTCGTGCCGCTACGTTTCTTGGCTTCCATTACAACTGTGCTTACAAACGAGTTCCCGGTTAATTCTTTCACCACAGCTTCTCACCTCTTCTATAAAAACCTCTATTACTGGTCACATAGTCTAGTTAATCGAAAGCATAGCGACCCTGTGTGAAGGACATAATTAGCCCTCTCGCTCTCACCCAGCGACAGCCGAGTTGTCTCTGTCTTAGTAAAATGAATCCTTTAATTGTCACTAAAATACTAAATCAACCGATCAGTACGCATTGCCAGTTTTTCTCAATACTATTGCATCAAGAAATCCCATAGTAACCGATACTACATATATACATATGTATACATACATATACATTCAATACCTTAACCCCATACAATGAAATGCTCTCGGCATTCTTTTAAATATTTCAACATATTTCATATGCATATATGTATGTTACGTCGTGCATCTTTAAAATGCCAACGGTGCCGACGAATATGACAAAAATGTTAAGCCCTTATGGTTGGGCAATTGACAAGGTTGACATGATGGTGGAAAAAAATAAAATGTCCCCTGTGCTGATTAAATATAACAAACGGCATGGCACACGAATGTGGATGCATGGAAATTCTGTTCTTTTATTTCATATAAATGAAAATAAAAGAGATTGAATTGAAATTCCCATACAGACCCTTTACTCAAATGTCACAGCTGCTGACATGGAATAATGTGAAGAGCAACAACAAAAATAAATAAAAAACACAAACAACGCTTCAGCTAAAAAAAATATCGCAATAAAGTCGTGTGAATAACGGACAAGTTGACATCCTAGTCGAATGAACTTTGACATTGCAACAAACCAAAGAATACCAAACAAAAAAGTTAATGTTTTCTCAGTTCCTCATTTAAAATTTTTCCAAATTAATAGCTGTACAGCTGAACAAAAATATAACTGTGCCATGCCAAGCAAAATCAAATATGAAAGTCATTCGATGATTTCATAAATATAACTGGACTCAAATTAAAAATTAACAGCGTCTGATCTTTATAAAACATGTAGCAGCAGGCTGTCGGAAGTAAGAATTGAGATGAATAGAGAGGTAACACTGATTCAGCTCTTAAAAGCATTGACAAAATATGTTCAGCACATACTTCAAATTATTTTAGAATTTTACCAGAATTTGATTTAATAAAATATTATTAAATGTAAAATAATGAATAATTAAATAAAATAAATTAATTAAATACGTATGTTAAATCATTAAAAAAAGTTTTTTTAATTGCAAAAAAAAACAAATAGTAATAAAATAAATAGTAGAAATTAAATTACATAAAATTATAATTATTTTAATACAATTTATATAGAAAAAATAATTATAATATAAAATTATATAATTATAATATATAATATATAACTATAATATAAAAAAATATAAATAAATCTATTATAAATATAAATTGAATTCAATTACATTACTTTTAACATTACCTGAATATATATAATCCTGATAGTAACTAGTTAAAATAAAGAATTGCCTTCTACATAGCTTATTAACTATTTCCACTGAAAAAAATTATTGCACAATTGCTGAATAAATGAATAATAATAATAATGCTGTTAAATTCGGTTGCCATCGATACAGAAGACATTTACCGACCGATCAAAGGCAGCCAGACGTGCGGTAGTCGATGGGCATATGTCAACCCAGATACCCTAACCGCATGCCACGTTGTCCACTTAAGTTTACCATAGACCGGAAAAGTGGCTGTGCTTGCTGTTCTTGTTGTTGTTGTTGTTGGGCTGGCGGATGCTCAAGTTTGTGCGCTGCCCATTAATTCAGCTGGCATACAATTAAATTTGCATTTCATTCAGCATTTTTTTGCTTCTTTTTTGCCCCATTTTGCTTACACCTGGCCAAAAGTAGCTGTAGTCCACGCAGCAGCAGCCACCTTCATGACTTTTAGCTGATTAACATTTGCGCTCTTCTCTTTTGCTCTTGTGCTCGGGGAAATGCAATTTTCCTGCCAAAGAAAAAAGCAACAGCAGCAAGTGGTAACCTTTATGTAAATTTACACCCGCCATATATGGCGGGTACACACAAATATATACACAAACACACACACACATATATAGGGTTGGGTACACTTGTGTACGAGCAGCGGAAACTTTGGACCAGCTCTGCCGAAGTGTATATGTGCTAAGAGCACAATAAACATTAATTTTCCTTATTTCTTACACTTTGTTTCAGCTCTTCCTGTTGCCAGCTGTGCATATTTTGGCACTTGTTTAAATAATGGTCGCTACAGAAAGAGCTACTTCCCTGATAAGCATAGAAACAAAAGAAAAAATCTAAAATAGTTACAGTCATTTTTTAGTGAGATGCAAAGGTTTCAAATTGGCTTAACAGAAAAAAATATACTATATGGAGAATTGAAATGAAGTTAAAGCGTTGCCTTTTAATGTAGTTATACATGAGGGAATATGTGCTGAATTATTTATATACTCACATAGCACTCTTTAAAATTCATATAGTGTTGTATCAATAGGCGAAAATATAATAATATTTTAATAATAATATTTTTGTAGCCATTAAACGTATTTATGCTTAACATTTCAATTAAATTTATTCATATATAATTCAAATTTTTAAATGAAAATCTTGACACTCCCTTAATCAAACGAGAACACACAAGAGCATATACGCTTAAAATATCATACAATATCCTTATATACATATATATACAGAGCGAGAGAGAGAGAGAGAGAGAGAAATTACCCTCCGAAGAGTGATGTCTTTTATTAGAATTTCTTGAGTAATAGCATATGTCTATTGCCATGGTTTCCCACGGCATGTAATCTGAACAATCTCAAGTGTGTTTCGCATATACCTACACTCCATTATGTTGACGTCAATGTCTACCCACAGCCCACTTGAGAGCGTCAGAGGGTGCTCGTCAATACCATGTAAGATAATGCACACCAATATACTCATTTCAATTTGTGAACATGTAAAAATAAAGCTCTCAATGAAATTTATTAACTATGAATCAGAGCTTGAAAATAGGAGTGGACCACTTAATTTTGTACGCTCTATACAAGGTTCTGTTCGTGTATTTTCGGTTTTATTTTCTGTTGAGCGACTTGAGTTGAAATATTCACGATTCGCCCTTTTCACGAATATCATTTAAGGAGAGATACGATTAACACAATGAGACTAAGACCAAGTGACTTTAAAAGTTAATGAAAGCACACATGCATATACACTTACTCAATTTACTTACGCTATTAATGTGTTTAGCGAGAATAGCTCTCGTATTTATACAAATACATACGCAGCAAACTCTTTGCTCCGCCAATCGGCGATTCGGCTGCTCACTGAATTTATTCTCAGAGTGTTTAGAGAGAAAGGGTCTAATAAATGAATTCCAGGGGTCTGCATACCATAAACAAAGTCTTTCCAATATAAAAGTAGTTAGCTAAATAAAATTATGCTTTTAAGGCTTAAAATTCTCTTGAACTATTTCAGTACTGCATTTATTTTATTAGACAATAATCTTTACTAAATAAGTCAGCTAATATTTCTGAGCAACAATTTCCATTTTTTTATTCAGCATTAATTTAAGCATTTCATTTCTCTATTTGCACTTAGTAAAGCTCGCTCCCAGTTGAAGACACACTTTAATCAAAAGTAATTCAACTAAAGCTCAATTGATTTATCAATTGCTATGACTTGCCGCACCATCTTCACAATGCAGGAACCTGAACCTGAACCTGAACCTGAACGTTTATCGAATTCAATTCAATGGAATTTGTTTTCTGAGTGAATATCAAATAACAAGAAATTCATGCTTGGTCTGTAGCAGCAGCGCTGAATGAGTTTGTTGTCGTCATCAACGTCAATTAGTAGAAAAGATTAATTTCGCATTTCGCTTGCTGTATTTATGCATACATAAATCTGTATTAATAAACGCCTTAATTTAAGCTATTTGAATATTTAATATGCATATATATTTAGTTAAGTTAAAGTCTGCAGGCTTGGTGATTAACATAAGAATTTAAATTTATTTAAGCTGAAATTTATAGCTTGCCGAAACCCAATTAATTATCTAGAATTATCGTCTTCAAAGCATATCGATTCATTTTAGTTACACATACAGCAATGCATACTCTAATGCATTAGCTAAATACAAATTGATGTGCATAAGTTATTGTACTAAGGCACATATATAAATCATATACTCTCATTCAGATCTCTTCGCAAAAGTTATTAAATTATATATTTAATAGCACACACATTTCTCGGCCAAAGTTTAGGTGAGACTTGTAGGAATGTGGTGAAAAGTCTTTTTTGTAATTTAATTAAAGTAAATATATATATATATATATACATACATATATAGATAGGTATTTAGCTTGTGTGATAAATGTGTTTGGTAATTAGTCCAAAAGCTTGCAAAGACTTTGGCCGACATGCTAGGTATTAACTGGAGTTGCCTGATTAACGTATGCTTATAATAGAATGTCGATTAAATATTCGTTAACTTACCCTAGATAGAGGATTATAGTAACAGAGAATTTGTATAAATTATTAAATAGAGGATTATAGGAACAGAGATTTTATTTAAATTTTCTATAAAATATGTATATTTTTTTATTCGTACCTAATGTAATGGAACTTAAACTTGTTTAAAAAAAATTTAATAATAGTATTATATTGAAAACTATAGCACTGTTTTTTTTTTTTTTTTTTTTTTTTTGTAAACTTGTTTATTTATTATATACATTTTTAATCAAAATTTACTCCTCGCACATTTTACTTATTCTTTTTAAATGTGGTTATTTATGCATAGTTCTATATGAGTATCAGACTTTCTTTTAATATGTACATAAAATAAAAAAAAAAATCCAAGTTCCTGCATGCCAATTTTTATTAGCTGCATTGAATGACTTCATCTATTCCAATCTACTTCACTTATAGAAATCAAATAGTTCCTGATCCATTAAGCTGTCTTCAATAAAGTGTCACAAGTAAAAGAAATTGATGTCTTTTCTGTTTGAATTCATTGAATATTTTCTTTTCCATTTTGACGAGCTTTCAATTTAATTAACTGCTATTTTAAATGTATTTATCAAGTCAAGCTAATTACATTTCAATTAAGTTAATTGTAAAAACTTTTCTCAGCTATGTTGGCATGAATTTTCCAAAGAGTTTCTTATTACGGATTCACTGTGAACAGCTTTAAATTGAGCCCATGCCTCCTCCTTAGTCTATGCTCGTTATTCTCTTCACAAGATATGCAAAGTGGCTGCACAAACACGCGTGTAATACGTTAATGATGGTCCACACACACACGCATGCACATACACATGCAAATGCTGAATATTTTCTTTCCCGTTCCTCAACAATGCACACATTGTAGCTAAGATTTGCATTACGGGCATTGCTCAGTTTTGCAGCTTTTTAGTGTATCTGAAGTCAAGTCTGAGCGCACCGACGAACGCCTACATAGTTTAGCCCCGCCCCTTTCTGCCACCCCTGCTGGCAATCTGCGGCAAATTGTGCGCTCAGCCGTACAGCAGCAGGCCACACCCCAGGAGAGTTGGGAAAGATGCGAGGAGCCGTCGGAAAATGCCATCCTGACAGCAGCAGCAGCAGCGGCAGCAGGAGCAGAAGCAGCAGGAGCAGGAGCAGTGGCAGCAGGCGGACAAAACAAAAGGCAGCCGCGCATTCTGTAGCTGCACTTTAGTTTGCACTTTTCGCTTTCTTTGCATAAATTCTCGCGACCAGGCACAAACTGAGTTTACTGTAGTGCAAAAATGAGCACGCACAAAAAAAAATGAGTATAAAAAGGCAGGGCGAGGTGTGGGAGAAGTGGCCAGGAATGGGCGTTGGGGGACAAACTAGATAGATGCATTGCTGTACAAGATTTCCCGTTGAATTTTAAACCAAATACAAAAGCATAATGGAAAACGCCAACAGAGCGCAATGAAGTATGCGATGCAAAGCAGCGCCAAATGGACTAGTTTGCAGATACAGATAGATATATACATACAAACACAGAGACACACAGACATGCATACAGATATAAATGCAAGAACAAAGCGTTTCATGGCCAGGCACAAATGAACAGAGTGATGCGATGCTGACTGAGTCTGTGGTTCAGCAGTCGCGTCTATACGAGCGCGTGCTTTTGGGCGTGGACGTGGGCGTGGGCGTGGCAATGGCAGCTCTCAAGGCAACTTGTGCATAAACATAGCTCGTAAACTTTGTGAACAGTGAACAGCATCACACAAACACCCACACACACACACACAGAGAAGTGGGCCTGCAGCGAAACAGCAAACAATCCAAAGGTCATCGGTGATACCTAAGAGCTGTGCTTATTCAGAGGCTACTTTGCATAGCCCAGTGCTAAGTGGCGTCAGCGTTTCATAACTCACAAATTGTTGATTTCAACTTGAAACTTTGACCAAGAAATTTGTCTTCGTTGTCACGACGGCACTATGAACAAAAATAAATACTAAATAATAAATATTAATGTAAAACAAAATAAATAAAATTTAAACTAAATATAAAATAGCTAAATAAAATGAAATTTATATGAAAGGAAGAAGCATTAAGTGAATGAAATATGTATATCCAATATAACAAATAATTTATTGATATTGCCTGTTGACAGAAATTTGCCCAGTGGGAGAAAGGGGAGTGTGGGTGAGCTGTTCAGGATATTCAGGCATACTTCGCTTTAAATTGACGAACTAAATTCTGAAATGTTATACATTATTATCATTATTGAATTGATTAACATTCTAAATGTTTGTTTTGATGCAATTTAGTAAATATAATTAATAAATGTTTTTGCGTATGTCATATGTATATTTTTATTATAAATATTTAGTAATTGAATAATGTGATACAAAAATCAAATCATCACATTAAGCGAAAATGGATGCCTTTAATTTTCTATGCACACATATTTATTTGGCCATGTAGTTTTATATATATATATATATATATATATATATATATATATATATATATATTTTTTTTTTTTTTTTTTTAGAAATATAATTAATTAGCTGCAGTTTTGATGACCCTTATCAAAATTCGTTTGCCCGTGCTGCAATCGTAGTTAATATTTATTATATTTTTGTATATATATATTTTATTTTTGTTATGTTTTATTCGTTCATAATTAACTTTTTCACGGAGTCAAACAAATTTTGAAGGGTTTGCCATTTGACTGAGGGTTTGCAATTATACAAAGCCAAAGTCGTTTTGAAGGCTTTGCCCATTGCAAATTAGTGAAATAGGGTATATTAGCTGAAGTGTTTTTAGGTAGCTTAAACTGACAAAGTACTTTAAAAATATATTCACAGACCTTAAAGCAAAAGTCCTTATTCTCTAGCCTACAGATGCAAGTCCAAAGCATCTGCTAGCCAGGCATTAACATACTTTTACCTCTCTTTTTGCCAAGCACAGATTTTTATTCGTATTTCTTTTTGACTTTTCTACCACTTACAGGTCCATAGAGACTTTACGTGTCGAAACGCCTGAGGAGTTCTATGCCCTCAAAGAGGCGCAAAAACTGAACGGCCCCGATGACAGCCAACTCAATGCAGCACACGGAACAACAGTGGCTACGGCACGGCAAGGTGGCGGTGGTGGTGGTGGTGGTGGTGGTGTCGGTGGCGTTAGTGCAGTGAATGGCATAGAGCATAAGCTACAGCTGAGGAGACTCAAGTTCAAGCGAGAAATTCACGCTCTGGCGCTCGAGGGCGGGGATGTGGCGCGCGGCTACTGCTCCTGCGATGAACAGTGGACCAACTTGCCCTCGCCCGCATCCACGACCACATCGGCGACTATGTCGCCAACGTTGACGGCTGGAAGTGCCAATGCGAAAGCCTCTGGCAGCGGCAATGGCAACGGCAACGGCAACGGCAACGGCAATGGAAACGGCAATGGAAACGGCAACGGAAACGGAAACGGGATTGTGAAAATGGCGACATTGAAAAAGCGCGGTTCGGGTGCTAACGCTGCCGGCGTTCGCCTGAAGCAGCAGCATCATGTGCGCTTCTCCGACGAGAAAAACTTCTCGGATTAGGCCGAAAAGTACTCGTAAACTACTAGACTGCACCTAAGCTCTGTTTAGATTTAAGACAACATTTTCATAGTTTAAGCAACGGTTGAGAGTTACGAAATAAGCAAAATATAAAAGCGGAAAAAGGAGAAACAAATAATGGAGATGAAAAACAAAAATTATATCAAATCTTTGTTAAGCGAACCATAAGATTGCGGTAGAAAATGTAGTTAAAATATGTCAGTTGATAAGTTACTGTAAATATATATAGTCGATTAGCGGGCGATGTTAGTCAATGTTTAGTTTAGTTAACAATTAGATCCGTTGTGAATTTAATGAATATAATTACATGTATTTGAATATAAGAATATGGCGTGTCTGTCAAGCTACATACGTATATAAATCGGAATATTTTATCGTTAAGTGTAGCACACCATTTTTTCTACCATTCAGCAAGAGTAATTAGCCAATATATATAAATGTAAACGATAAATGATAATGATCGAAGATTTGGAAATCACATTGACTAAATCGAAATTTATCAGTGTATATAATAGCAACAAAAAACAAAAATTAATAATGAAAACTTAAACTAAATTGTGGTATTATTTACTTCAAGTAAAAAAAAAAAATTTAAAAAAAAAAAAGAAACGTAAACGTAAAGAGAATATTAAAAAATTCCAAATGCAGACAATTCAAGTATTAAACAAAAGCTCAGCGCAAACTGCATTCAATTCATGTAATAATACAAAAATTATAATAAATCAAAGCAAATGAATAGTTCATTATTTAATGAGAAAACAAAAAGTGGCTCAATGAAATGCATAAAAAGCAAATTTTTTTTTTAGCGTTTTCAAGTTGTGTTTAATTGATTTATGATTCGCCCTAATTTGAGCTTCAATAACAGGCAATCAATTTAGCTGGCTCTTCATATATTTATGTATTTTTTTGCTTGGCAATTAATTTATAATTATTAAAAAAAATAAGAACAAAAAATGGATTAAAGTCAAATTAATTACATTCATGTGCTTAAAACACATTTCGAGAGTTTAGTTTGTATAATAAATTAATTTTATTACTCATTCACGAAAGTGTAATGAGTATATTGCTTGCAATGTCCACATTTCTGTCCGTCTGAGATTCTGTTCTGACTCTAGATATAGCCAATTGGAAGAGTGGCAAATTGGGATTAGAGCTTGAGAAAATTTAACGACTTAACTACTGTTAACTTACTTTATTGATTTCCATAAAAAATATTGAAAGTGTGGCCAATTTTTGGCCATGAATGAGTATATCACAGTCGGTAACACCCGACTGCAACATTCATGATTGTATTCTCTCTATTTTTTTTTTTTTTTTTTTTTTTTTTTTTGCTCATATACATATACATACATGAAACTAACTGTAACAAAAAAGAGCTTAGTTTTAATCACTCAAAATTAATATTTTAATTTACATTTTGTTCGCTTGTTCTATTACTTTCAATTAAAATGAAAACAGATGAAAAAATAAATATAAATATATATATAAATGTACTTACGGCAAAATTTATAATCGTCTAGTTACAAATATAAAAAATTAATAATGTTAAGTCCTAATAATGAAACGTAAACCCAAAATAAAGAATTAATAAAAAAAGTGCATCAAATAAACAAATGAAACGAACGAGTATTTATTAATGAATTAATATTATTCAACTTAAATTTTTAAGATTTATTTTAAACTCTTTTCAGGCTAAAAAAAAAAAAAAAAAAAAAAAATAAAAAAAATAAAAATAAAAATTAGTATTATAATGTGGGAATTTGGCAAAAACTATATACCTGGCACCCGGAAATCTTCAAGTTAATTTGCCAAGATAACAAAAGATCATCTTCATATTTATATTTATTTTCTCGAATGAAAATATCGTCGATTATTCCTGTCTATCATCCTAAGTCCTGGCCTTGTGTTTTGCTCTAATTTGCATTGAGCAATAAGCTTATATAGAAGGATATACTCATGGGGACATATGGTCGACAACTTTGGAGCACGGCTAACGATACCAATATCACCGTAACAATTAATTATGAGAGATAAGAGAGGCACATGACTTAGATCTGTAGGGGCAGCAATTGAAGCTTCCCGTTTTATTTGCTCTCCCTGTACCTGAGTACAGTATAGATATAGCTGCATATTACGAATGGTATAAATTGCATAATAATTAATGAAATAGGCTATACTTAGGTAAACTTGGTATTGTAGTTAATGTTTACTACATTTATAGCCATAGATAGCCATGAGAAGAGACAGACAACAAACAGGCAGATCAAGGAATTTATCTATATTATACATAAATAATACAGCTAAGTTCTTTGATATTACTAACGAGATACTATTATTTCATCTGCCTAAACTATAGCTAAAGTTTATAGTTAATTATAATGTAATACTATACTATATACTATGTGGCTATGATAATACTAATTATCATATTGATAATAAAATCAACTCTCAACTTCCATATGCATGTCCTTCTTTATATAGGATATACATATAGATAAGTCTAATCTTGATGTATTCATAAAGCAGTTATCTAATTGAAGCTGACCTTAACTCTTTAATAGTATGTAGTTCCGTATTAAGGTCTTGCCTCTGCGACCTATTTAAGAAAAAATGCAAAAATTTTGATTATATCCGCTGCCATCAAGACTTCAGTTGAGTTTCTCGAAAAACAAGTCTATAAATCAAATGGTTTATAGTCGAAATGAAAATATCATAACAATAATCCTTTCAATCAAAACCTTGACGTTATTATTTGCCACAGCACTCGGCCAGGCGATGTCCTCATTGACACATCAGAGCGGGAGAGAGATAGAGAAAGAGAGAGAGCGAGAGAGAGAGAGAGAAAGAGAGGGAATGCATAAAGCCTGTAAGACTATAAATTTCGTCCATTGCCATGCCCAACTAAAAGGGCTCAGGCATGATTTTATTTTAAATGTTTTCGTTTATTCATTCGCTGCTTTTCGTTCTGTTTTGCAATTTTAATAGCTGCTTTTTATGGCCAGCTCGCAGCTCTCGGCTCGCAGCATGCAGCGGTTATTAAATAAAGTTTTATGTGCCCAATAAAACAATGGGTAGCAGCAAGAGTTGGCAATTGGGTGAAGGGGGAGAGGGGCATGCGAGATAGGTGCATGTGTTGCATGCCTTTCAAGGTTGCCAAGGGCATGGCAACCATTATTGAGCCGAGTTCAGCTGGCGAATGCAAACATGCCTTAAAAGTTGAATCTCGGCTAATGCCTGGCGGGAAATGCCTTTGCATTAGCTCAGTGGACAGCCATGGAGCTGCCGTAGCCGCAGCAGCCCCAGTCAGTTGATGTTTGTCCAAAACTATTCCAATTAAATTGCCAGCTAACAAAAAATGCAATTTAAGCATATACATATATACACTGTATGTATATGTATATAGAAAACACTTTAAACGGCCCACTGTTTGTTATTGTTGCTGTCTCTTTGGCCCTCAGCCCAAAGGCTTTGCTGTTTAGTTTGTTGTTGCTGTTGCATGCGACATGACCAAAGAGACTACGAACATTATTATGTTAGCTCTCCCATTTTTCGCTTGCCCACTGAACCCTCAAAGACAGGCAAATTACAGGGTATAATCAAATTAAAGCAGTGTATGCAAAAGACCTTAAAGTACTGACATTGATAACTAACAATAATAAAGAAATAAGAGCAAAGTAATAAATTGAGCACAGACTTAGATTTAAATGATTAAATGTCCACATATTCATGAAAGCTTCATTTTCTTTCAGCTCTTAGTGAGGCATACAAATTCCTTAAAATATTATCAAATATATTTAAATAACAGTTCATACTACATTATCAATATACAGGGTATTAGCTAGTCGAACACTCTCTCTCTCTCTCTCTCTCTCTCTCTCTCTCTCACTCTCGACGTCTGCTTTACATGTTATTTGTTGCTGCTTTTTATATTTTTTTCTTTTCTTTTTTTGTTGAAAGTTAAGCTCTGCCAAAGCTAAAGTTTTATGCGCAAATTTCATTACATATTTAAATTGTGTTGATGTAAGAGTATGTGTGCGTGTGTGTGTGTGTGTCTGTGTGTTACACATACTCATACACTCTCACATGCTTGCTTGCAGGCATAATTAATTTAAAATTAAACACACTTGAAATATGTTGAGCCATTTTAATGGATGCTCCGCATCTAAAATAAAGTTGCAATTTTACGTTTTTCAACACTTTCCCATTGTTGTTATTGTTGTTGCTGTTTACGCTGTTATATAATTTAACAACGTTTTTCATGTTTATGTTGCCATTATTTAAGGTATTCATTATTGCGATTGCTTGTCATCTTTGCCCATAGCAAATAAAAAATCAAAAATCAACAAGAATGACTGCATAATACTCGCTCACGCTTTAAGAGAACTTCAATTTGTTTATAGATTAGAATTGTCAAGCTTTCGAATTCATGGCCCTAAGAACTATGGAAGATGTATGTATACAGTCGACTCTCGTTATTTCGAAATTCAAGGG